ACAATTCTCCCCCAAGGAGTTCAGTCACAAATTTAATTAACGCATTTTTTTTTAAAGAGCGTCATCAACATGGAAGCATGTCCTCCAGAATGGTGGCCAAAGCATGAAGGGGCATACAAATGTTTAGCATATCTGGCATGTAAATACTTTACAATGCTGGCTACAAAATTGCCATGCGAACGCCTATTCTCACTTTCAGGTGACATTGTAAATAAGAAGCGGGAGGCATTATCTTCCGTAAATGTAAACAAACTTGTTTGTCTGAACGATTGGCTGAACGAGAAGTAGGACTGAGTGGACTTGTAGGCACTAAAGTTTTACATTGCTTTGTTTTTGAGTGCAGTTATGTAAGAGAAAAATCTACATTTGTAAGTTGCACTTTCACGACAGAGATTGCACTAGAGTACTTGTATGAAGTGAATTGAAAAATACTATTTTTTATTTTTACAGTGCAAATATTGGTAAAAAAATAATATAAAGTGAGCACTTTATATTCTGTGTTGTAATTGAAATCAATATATTTGAAAATGTAGAAAAACATCCAAAAATATTTAATAAATTTCAATTGGTATTGTTTAACTGTGTGATTAAAACTGCGATTAATCGCAATAATTTTTTTGAGTTAATTGCATGAGTTAACTGCGATTAATCAACAGCCCTAATTAAAATGTCTCGTGTTTATTTCACATATTTAGGAAAGCCATATTTCACAACTATGTCACAGCCATGAAACCTCTATCATGATGATATAGCCAGAAAATACTAATTTTATAGATTCATAGATTCTAGGACTGGAAGGGACCTCGAGAGGTCATCGAGTCCAGTCCTCTGCCCGCATGGCAGGACCAAATACTGTCTAGACCATCCCTGATAGACATTTATCTAACCTACTCTTAAATATCTCCAGAGATGGAGATTCCACAACCTCCCTAGGCAATTTATTCCAGTGTTTAACCACCCTGACAGTTAGGAACTTTTTCCTAATGTCCAACCTAGACCTCCCTTGCTGCAGTTTAAGCCCATTGCTTCTTGTTCTATCCTTAGAGGCTAAGGTGAACAAGTTTTCTCCCTCCTCCTTATGATACCCTTTTAGATACCTGAAAACTGCTATCATGTCCCCTCTCAGTCTTCTCTTTTCCAAACTAAACAAACCCAATTCTTTCAGCCTTCCTTCATAGGTCATGTTCTCAAGACCTTTAATCATTCTTGTTGCTCTTCTCTGGACCCTTTCCAATTTCTCCACATCTTTCTTGAAATGCGGTGCCCAGAACTGGACACAATACTCCAGCTGAGGCCTAACCAGAGCAGAGTAGAGCGGAAGAATGACTTCTCGTGTCTTGCTCACAACACACCTGTTAATGCATCCCAGAATCATGTTTGCTTTTTTGCAACAGCATCACACTGTTGACTCATATTTAGCTTGTGGTCCACTATAACCCCTAGATGCCTTTCTGCTGTACTCCTTCCTAGACAGTCTCTTCCCATTCTGTATGTGTGAAACTGATTTTTTCTTCCTAAGTGGAGCAGTTTGCATTTGTCTTTGTTAAACTTCATCCTGTTTAACTCAGACCATTTCTCCAATTTGTCCAGATCATTTTGAATTATGACCCTGTCCTCCAAAGCAGTTGCAGTCCCTCCCAGTTTGGTATCATCTGCAAACTTAATAAGTGTACTTTCTATGCCAATATCTAAGTCGTTAATGAAGATATTGAACAGAGCCGGTCCCAAAACAGACCCCTGCGGAACCCCACTCGTTATGCCTTTCCAGCAGGATAGGGAACCATTAATAACAACTCTCTGAGTACGGTTATCCAGCCAGTTATGCACCCACCTTATAGTAGCCCCATCTAAATTGTATTTGCCTAGTTTATCGATAAGAATATCATGCGAGACCGTATCAAATGCCTTACTAAAGTCTAGGTATACCACATCCACAGCTTCTCCCTTATCCACAAGACTCGTTATCCTATCAAAGAAAGCTAGTTGATAGTTTATGTGCTAGTTGATTGTGAGATTTCTGTTATATCCATTAAATACATGGGTTTTCTTGCTATAGAGTAACTTTACATATATTCCGTCACACCCTTGCAATTTTATTAACCCTGTATGAATCTTTGAATAGCAAAGTAACTGACAACAGTTGTCAAGTATCAGAGGGGTAGCCGTGTTAGTCTGGATCTGTTAAAAGCAACAAAGAGTCCTGTGGCACCTTATAGACTAACAGATGTATTGGAGCATAAGCTTTTGTGGGTGAATACTCACTTCGTCAGACAACAGTTGTGTATGTCTGTACATTTCTGCTACTGTATACTCTCTGTACGAGTTCAGAGAATAGGGTAATCCCTCTGACCAGTTGATGGAAACAGATAAATCAAGCTATTTAAGCCATGTAAGTATCCCAGAGCACCTCAACTCCGTTTGTTATTTCCTGTGTCTCAAGCAAGTCAGACAGTGTTAGTGTGGATTGGTCCAGGGAATGCAGCAAAAATTAGAAGCTGTTCTGGCCTATATATTATCAACATTCTACTTCCACATATAGCAATCCGGATGTCCATTTCTTAATTTAAAAAGAAATGTCAAAAGTTATAGACATTTTGATATGTGGAGCATCTTTATAATTGTGAAAAATTAATAGTTGAACTTTCATGTTTATATCAGTGTGTCTGAGAAATCACTCCACTAGAGAATATTGGAGGGCTCTTGACTTCCAATCTGCCTAATTTAGAGGGTTTTTGTTTCCACTTCTTGGTGATAAAGTTTGTTTTACAATTTGGACTTGTATAAGTGGAAATGTCTGATCTACAATTCACAGGTAAGACCATGTTCCAATGTATGTCTTATTAGCCCATTAAAAATAATGAAAGACTATAGCACTGGATTGCCTTTAGCTACCTGCGTGTACATAGAGTATGGCATGTCAGAGCTAAATCATTTATTAACTCCTTAACAACATATATGTTAGCAGTTTTCTAGTGCTTCAGCACTTACAATCAATATCTGCCTTTTACTTCCTTGTCTTTAATTAGTGTGTTTGTCTAGATCGCCAGATTTGCAAGCAGTAAATGATATATGGTTGTGAATTCTTTGCAGCAGTAAGTGGCAAGTTAGTGAAATATTACAGGGACACCCTCTTAAAACCTCACTGCATGACATGTATCTACTTAAATTGTTTGCTAAAACAGTATGTAATTTGCTAGTGCTAAAAATTGCAAAATAGGGACATCTTGTAGTAATGAAGGGTTACAAATACAATAATTGTTTTGTTCCTTTATGTTTATAATTAAAAACCTGGATTATTGGCACTATCTTATATTGCTATAGAATGTTCTGCACAGGTGTAGAGTTCTTAAGGTAGCATCCAGGTTTGCATTGTGAGTCGTTTCAACTAATTTTTAAGTGTTGGTTCCTTACTTGGATCAAGCTAACAGCAGGTCTGTTCATATGTGGTTTTATCTAACTATCATTTACCAGGATATAATTATACCATTTTAGTCAAATCTGAAACAGATGTCCTTCTGCTTACCTATTGCTATAGCCATTTGGTACCATTCTAATGTTACATTGACACCAGACAGGAAGGCCCATTATGTCCCCCACTGAATCAAAACCCTTGGGTGCTAATTTAATAACTTCAGTCCTCCAAATTGAAGCAGAGTTTTTGGCATGCACACTTCTCCCAGCTAGGCGCTCTTGCCTCCATGAGGAAGGTGGTACTTTTGTTTATGGCAATGGTATATGAGAAGGAAATTGACAAGCAAGAGCACCTTAATGGCTGAAAACTACCTGTTAATGATTGTGGTATTGGTGCCTGCCTGGCAGCCTCTGTTTCCAATTAAGCATCTGCCAGAGCTGGAAGCTGGGCTCTTAATTGGAAAGAAACAGATTCAAAGCAGGTTGCATTTTCTGCCAAGACAGATTTATCAGTTAAGCTGTGCCTTAATCCATTGTATTTTCTTTCCAGCTCCCTCCCTTTTTTCTTCTCTCTCCATTTTACTGTTTGTCTCCCACCCAGTGGAGAAAAATCCCTAAGTAGTGGGAATGCACAGAAGTCATTCAATACAATGGTGGAGTTTTCATTTCCTACATAACCTTTTGCTGATCTGTAGTCCAGTGATAGGCTCTGTCCTAACCGCTAACTTTTTCTTCCCCCAATTCCTCCACAGCACACATACATACACACCCATTAAAATATATTGTCTAGTGTACATTCAGGAGATCTGTTTGCAGCTATATTTTACATAGAACGGATTGTTTAATTGCAGATTAAAGATTAATGCAAGTATAATGATTCCATGAGGACACTTCAGACAAAAGCATCCTGCATCAGGCAGCCTGCATCCATTTTTCAATTTAGCCATAAATTTGGCTGGGAATTAAATAGTAAGTAGCCGTGATTGCAACACTGGTCTCCAAAGGCACTCACGGGAATGAAAATAAACGAACAGGCTCTCACACAAAGCATGTTTCATTATGGTCATTAGTGGGCAGATCCTCAGCACAACTGAAGGTGAAATTGTCTACAAGAAATGTTGGCACATGGCTGTTGAAAATGGAATGGAAAGGGAAGCAAGATTGAAAATGTTCAGGGCACAGAGTCCAGAGATGGCAAACTTCTTTTCTTTATTCTTGGCCTGGATGTAGACTGCAGGGTGTGAGCAGAACTGCTTATGTGCAAAGATCCCTTGTATATGTAACTCATGCATTATGCAGCACCAGTAACTCAGCAAAACATTTCAAATGTGTAATATTTAGATACCTAGAATTATCACAGTTCCTTATATACTTCAGAGGGGTAGCCGTGTTAGTCTGGATCTGTAACAAGTAACAAAGAGTCCTGTGGCACCTTAAAGACTAACAGATGTATTGGAGCATAAGCTTTCGTGGGTGAATACCCGCTTCGTCAGACACTCTTTGTTGCCTTATTTACCTGTTATTTTGAGGGGGAAATATTAAGTTTTTGCTTCCTTTTATGTTTTTCAGGTGAGGGACATTTTATTTTCCTTAAAATGTTTGCCAGACTGGTAAGTTATTTATTCCTTCATTTGCTTTATATGCAGTGCGCATGAAAACAGGAGGTTGCAGCCTTTATTCCAAGGGTGGAACTGTATTGCACTAATTTGAGAGAAGCTGGGTGTGTTTTGTACTTTTTTACTGTCTTTGGGTTTAAAAGAACTCTTCATTATAGTCCTTGTGCCAGATGCAGCTTATGCTGGCGTAACCTCAGACAGCCCCAGTCATGGTAAGTTCACAAGGAGAATAGGTTACAGATGCAGAAAGCTGCCACAACTTCTAAGCCACAATTCAAAAAGCAGGCAGTGCTGTACTACAAAGATGGAAGTGACCAAGGAAGATGAGGGATGCACTAATTCAGTATATCTCTTCAGCAGTCTTCACAAGCTGGGCTCCAGTGGACCAAAAACTAAAGCTACTCATTATCCTATCCCCTCCTTCCTGGCAGAATACCCCACTGGGGGCAGTGTTAATACTGTTTCCTCTCCATTGGAAGTGAATCCTTCCTGAGTGCCAGGGTGTTAGACGTAAGGTGACCAGACAGCAAGTGTGAAAAATTGGGGTGGTGGGGTAATGGGTGCCTATATAAGACAATGCCCCCAATACCGGGACTGTCCCTATAAAATCGTGATATCTGGTCAGGGATAGATGGCACAGAGAGATCCTGTCCCAGATTCGTGAGTCTGACCCTTGCTGAGGGCCTGCTTTTTCTTTCTCTTACTTTGGTGTAATTCAGGAATTCAGTAACGGGGTTATATTGGTGTAAATGAGTTGAGACTCAGAATGTATAAGTACAGTTGATGTAAATTTATTGTAGGTATCTTTAAGCTATGCTTTTTTTTTTTTTCTGTTTTTTTCTGACAACTTTGCACTTTTTTCTGAAATCCTAGTAGCAGATTTTGAAATGTAATTTTTTTTTTTTGTATGTAAACAAGATTTTCTGTGCAAGCAATACTGATAAAAAAAATTAACAGGAATCTTAGGCATACCCTTATTTACTTCAGTTGGTCTTTTACAACAACTATAAATCATAGAAATGTGGGGATGGAAGGGACCTTGAGAAGTCAGAAAGTCCAGCCCCCTATGCTGGGACTGGATCAAGTAAACCTAGGCCATCCCTGACAGGGGCATATCCAACCTATTCTTAAAAACCTCCAATGATGGGGATTCTACAACTTCCCTTGGAAGCCTAGTCCAGAGCTTAGCTACTCTTATAGTTAGAATTTTTTCCCTAATATCTAACCTAAACCTGCCTTGCTGCAGATAAAGCCCATTACTTTTGTCCTACCTTCAGTAGACATGGAGAACAATTGATCATGGCCCTTTTTATAACAGCCCTTAACATATTGGAAGACTTATCAGGGCCCCCCTCAGTCTTCCTTTCTCAAGACTAAACATGTCGAGAGTTTTAACCTTTCCTCATAGATCAGGTTTTCTAAATCTTTTATAATTTTTGTTGCTCACCTCTGGACTCTCTCCAGTTTGTCCATCTTTGTCACATCTTTTGTGAAGTGTGGGCGCCCAGAATTGGACACAATACTCTAGCTGAGACCTTCCCAGTGCCAAGTAAAGTGGTACTGTCACCTCCCATACTTTACATACAACATTCCTGGTAATACACCCCAGAATGATATTAGCCTTTTTCACAACTGCATCACATTGTTGACTTATACTCAATTTGTGACTCACTATAACCGTGAGATCCTATTCAGCGGTACTACCAGCTAGCCAGTTAATCCCCACTACCACAGACAGTAGGACTGGAAGTAATGGGCTTAATCTGTAGCAAGGGAGTGTTAGGTTTGATCGTAGGGAAAATCTTTCTAACGATAAGGATATTAAGTACTGAAATAACAGTAATTTTTTAGATCAGTGGTTCTCAAACTTTTGTACTGGTGACCCCTTTCACACAGCAAGCCTCTGAGTGTGACCCCCCCCTTATCAATTAAAAACACATTTTTTATATTTAATACTATTATAAATGCTGGAGGTGAAGCGGGGTTTGAGGGTGGAGGCTGATAGCTCGCGATCTCCCCCATAATAGCTTTACGACCCCTTCAGGGGTCACGACTCCCAGTTTGAGAACCCCTGCATTAGATTTTGTATCGGGGTGTGTGTGTGTGTGTGTGTTTGAAAGCGAGAGTAAGAGAAAGAGAGAATGTGAGGCACCCAGAGCCTGGGATATGCTCTGCGGAAATGGAAATAAATAAATAACATGAATATATAAATACGTAAGAAGAGTTTCTAAGCAACCAAGATCATGCTTTTGTAGAACTCAGAGATCTGTGAACCCTGGTGGGTTTGTTTTATGCTGGTGTTCAGGAGCTGAACCACTGAGCTAATTTGTAAGGGATTGAAAGTGATTAGTCCTTGTAGGTTCACTTCAAAGTTTGTATTCAGGAAAGTCAGAGAATGGAATCCCCACACCCCAATCAGTCATGCTACAGACGTATCTTCTTTTATTCTGGGGAGAGTGAATAGTAGTAGCCTCATAGTACTGGATGTCCCCTTCCCTAGGTGCAGAGTGACTGTTACCTTCATCTTGTGTCCTTGAGAAGCAATGGGAGCTGGCAGGTAGGGCTCTGCCCCAATTCAGGGGTCTTCTGGGGATCCAGAAAGTGGCCTACTCTCCTTCACCATGAATAAAGCAGCAGGAGAAGCAATCTCTCTCTCTCTGCTGACACATGGGGAATAAGGCCTTGTGAGGCTAAGCATACAAGTGAGGAAACATGTTCCTTACTTATTAATAAGTATAAAAGAAAACAAAACTAGCCCCAGGAAATATCTTTTAGATCAGCAGAATTGTTTCTCAATAGATAGTTTCGCAAAGATTTGCATGAGATGTCAGCTACTCCTTTATCTGACAACTTACCAGCTCTAAACAAGCTCTTTCTTTTTAATGATCACCTTGCCATGCTGACTTAAAGGACTGTGATGCATGTGATGAGATGACTTTACTGCAATTTTCAAAAAGAGTTCTGCATTTTTATGGTGTTAGTAAACATATTTTCAAACAAGTTAGAAATGAAAGAACAGGAAATCGTATTTGCTAGTTCTTTACCTATTATTTTTTATACTGAATGCATTTCAGAAGATAAACTTATTAATGGACTGTGCAATAGCAGCAGAACCAATGTCTAAGAAAGTGCTTTTTTCACTTTAAGCAGCCATTAGCCCTTCGAATAATTTGCCTTTTTTGTATTAGTAGATAATGTGACTATTAATGAATTCAATTCTTTTAGTAGTGATTGCAGAGAAGAGAGCAAGAGAAGTTTATTTATTCATCTTTCTGAGTGTGTTATTTGTCTTACTGATTTATTATACAGATTTAAGGATTCATAGTTGTTAGTGGTCTGATTGTAATTGATCAATAATTCAAGCAATGTAAAGCATAGTTTGTTCCAATAAATGGCCGTGCCTTTACAACAATCTCCTTGCATAGATGTATAAATACAACTGTGATGAGCACTGTTAAAATGGATGTGCCAATACCGCATGCAAGAGTGATCATGAGCTTAGTGATATTTACAATTGTGAGTAAACTTGGTGAATTTTAGCACTTATAATGAACACAGAGAGAGATCTATCTACAACAGTATAGTACACAAGATGTACAGAGTTAGCTTAAGAAATGTTTCCCATGGATCAGTAAACTGGCTTACTTCCTGGACCCGATTCTCCTACAAAACCTGCTTTGAACATAAGACACCAGCTTTTTATTTTTTATTATTAATATCATTTATTTGTATAGAGGTAGCATCTAGGAGCTTTGATCATGGACCACAATCTCATTGTGCTAGGCATTGTACAAACAGGAAAAAAAAGATGAACCCCACCCCCAAAGTTTTTTAAAATATGTTTCTAATCAACTTACTCACAGGCCTCTCTTGGCAGTTTCTTTGTAAATGATCCTGTCTCAGATCCTTACTGAAGAAATACGGGGGGAAAGACTGACAAATGTTCAGTGTGTAAGATTACTCTCACAGGCATAAATTCCATACCAAAGTGTCTAGAGCACCCCCAATAGGCAAAAAGAGGTTTCAAGATTAGATTTTTATTGGAACCAAATAGAATTATTAAAGAAAGATAAAGGCTGTGTTAAAATGGTAGTTGTTATTAAGTATTAGTGGCACATCCTAAATGCACAAGCTCACCACACAATGGAGCTGCCAGTGTAACTCCAACAAGCCTGATAGCTGGGCACTACTCAAACATAAGAAGGTATGTAAACAATGCAGTGGAAGTTGTTCCAAGGATAGGAGACAGCATGTCAGAAGAGGAGAAGGAAGCAAAGAATGCAATGAGAATAAGAAGGAGCATGAGATGGGTGTCAAATGAGGAAAGACAGCAGAAGCGTGATGCAGAGCCTACAGATGAATCTTGATGCAGGAGAGTAACAGTGAAGAGGACTGAGGAGAGAAGTGACTTTTTTCAGCGGAAGAGAAAAATAACCTTAGTAGTAGTGTTTTGGACAGACTAGCGCGAGCCTAAGAAAGTAGGCCTGAAAGGAGTTCATTTTTGACTCATGATAAAAGCTTTCCACAATTACTAATCCCGGTAAACATCAGATGCAGGGTTAATAGTCTAAAAGAGACAAAGAAATATCTCGCTTTTCAAACAGCAGTGATAAGTGCATATTGGTGAGGAGGAGACAGCAATTGGAAAAGGAGGACAAAGATTAGTTGACCTAGGATAAGTTTTCCAGCCCTAAAACTTGATTCATTTCAATAGGATAGTCTCACCAACGAGTAAATCCATTTAGATTTGTTTTTGTCCCACATATACATTTCCCTCACTATCCTAAATCATAAAAGCAATTTCTCAAAACAAGGGAGGCAGAACATGACTTCTGGTCTAGAACTCATCCATGCTGCTTAGAGGTTGTTCAGAGAATGTTCGTGTTAATGCAATGCAAGACTTTTCCATCAGCCTCTTGATCCTCTGTATATCACAGAGAACAGGAAAGTGGCATACCAATTCTTGGTAAACATTTTTCTGTGACTTGCAGCAA